ATATATATATATATATATATATATATATATATATATATATATATATATATATATATATATATATATATATATATATATATATATATATATATATATATAGAACAAATTTTTATTGAGTACTCCGTATTATAGAATTCGGAAATTGATACAAGAATGTCACAAGTGATTGCTCCCTTAGCAGTTTTTGGGAGTAAACCAAATCTATTGTATTCAGGTGCATGTCTGGCAAGGTTATGAGCTGTTGAATTTTCCTCTCGATAAATGTGGCGTATCGTACCTTTGTCGGTCTCGAGAATTGATTGAAGAAATAGTGTAGAGATGAAGGAGAACAAGGATCCTTAAATAGGGTAGAAGAAGAGAAAGAAATCAATGTGATGTCCCCCTCTAATCTCCCCTTCGGCAATTCTTTGAGCTTGTGCGGTCGTTGGAGATTTTGATAAGACTCTTCTTGATAGGGACTAAAATGGTCCCAATTTGGATATACGTTTTAGTCTAATTTTTTCGAAATGGAAATTTGATTGTGTCGTTGCAATCAAATAATCAAACTTTAACAATGATATAATTTTCACATTTTGTTTGAAATTCTTTTTCTGGTATTATATTTTTGGGTGTTTGAATTTGAGAGAGTCAAAATTGATTTAATTGACATATATATAAAAATATTCTTATATTCAATTAGTATTATTCAATCTAATGATTTATTTCAATAAATCATTTTACAAGAGCTCACCATATTAATCACTTCTTAATTATATACAAGTTACAAATTTTAATATTTTAAAATGTTACAACTCATAATCTGTAAATCATATTTGTTCATAAAACATATTGTTAGATTCATCACTTCGAGACCTATCCATAAAACTCAATTTTAGACAAATATCATAAATTCTAAAAAACTGCTTAATTTTTGGTCAAACATAGAAATAATACTTTGTTGGGTCAAATTTTAGTTTTAAAAATACTTTTATGATAAAATAACTCTTTGGCATGTTTTGAGGCATTACAAAGTGAGTAGTGACAATAACACTTAAAGAAGAAGAAAGATGTGGTGGGGAACGAGGAGGGGCCGCAGCCAATGAATGAGGCAAATGAGGAGGAGTTGATTGGACATTGACTTGAAATGAGGCGTCGTCGTAGGATATGATGCAAAGGTGATGGGGAAGGAGGCGACAAGGAGATGGGGAAAGTGATGACATAAATGAGAGACAGAGAAAGGTGTGCAGATGGTAAGAAACGAGAGGGTGTGTGGGAAAATGGGTGGGGGAGTATATGGGTAGAAAATGAAGTACATCAATTGTGTACCCTTAGCATGGTTGTTATTTTAATATCTCTTAGACTCATGTCCTATCAAACAGTATAATTTAGAATAAGAATTCAACTGGTGTAATGTTAGTAGTATTATGGTTTACAATGACACAAAATGTCAGTGCAACATTTTTTAATGAACTAGCTTTTTGTGATAGTGTGAACCGTTAAAATGCTAGTGCATCTCTTGCATCCATTTAGAGTACAATTTGAAGTGCACTTCTTGGCGTGCCTCTATCATGGTTGTATAATTTAACTTCTTAAACTTAAAAGCAAGGCTGAATACTGAATTTGAGAAAACTTCGCAATATATACCGTACATCCTGTATATCCATGGCGAGTGCCCATTTACAAGTAATTGATTGCTCATTATTGAGCAACCAAATACTCCGTACTCATTCTCGAATAATTGGATAATCATTTCTCTAAAATTTAGTTATGCTCGAAAATGAGCATTCAGTTATTCAAAAATGAGTATTCTATTAATTGAAAATTACTCCCTTCGTCCGGAAAAAAAGTTCCTATTTTGACTTTTGGTCATTTTTATGGGAAGTTGACTTTTGGTCATTTTTATGGGAAGTTGACTTTGCTTACAATTGGTCCAAAATGCCCCTAGCCTTCTCTGCTGCACAAGTCCAATTTCAATTTACTCTACCTGCTTTTTTCCCAATGGAACAAAAAAACAATGGACGCCGCCGACAAAGGCGAATCTCAGCCCTAAATCAATGGACGCGGAAATGGATCTCGAGATCCGCTGATATGGAGTACGGGTGTAACAGCCTAATCCGTCCAAGTCTGCAGCCCCTTTCGAACTAAAGTATTAACTTGGTAATCGTAAAATTTAAAACTTTTCAAACACTTTTATTTATCATAATAATATTTTTCATATCATAAACAGTACAGAGTTTTCAATATTGCAGAAGCTTAACAAATCATAACCACAAACATAATTTATTTATATTCTTTTATTCAAAACCATCACATCCATTCCGACTATCTCGCCTCCGTCTGCCTCCAGGATCATGTCACATCATTCTATTGACCTGCGTGTAGCAAATAAAACACACTACACGCTCAGCGGTAAAGCTGAGTAAGCATATCTAATGCGTCGAACATCCATATAAATTGAATCTCAATTCATAATCAACCNACAATATCCTTAAACTATTCTTAGTCTAAGGCCAATCACTTTAATATTTGTCAACCCTTAAATGAATTCTAGTTTAACTAATTAAACTATATTCCAGTATACAGAGTACTCCTAATAATCCTTAAGCTAGGCCTAGTTTAAGATAAAAGGGTTTTGGAAATCTTAAACTTACCTTCACTTAAGGTCAACCAAAAACCGACAGCGTAGTGTTCACTGTAGGGTGGGTGGTATCCCCAAACGAATAGGTACTCAAGTTTGGTTCCTGGATCCCGTACGTACGTTTTAACCCTAGCCACCGGGCATCATACCCGCAAGGCCTAACTTATATAGGTATATCTTAGAGTTATTCTAGATACCTTTCAAATCAGCATCAATATGGGTATATTTTAGAGGTTTTCTAGATACCCTTAACAATACATATTATTTTCACAAGCATCAATATATTCATTATGATTTAATCATTCATAATTTCCATTTTTAATCAGAACAATTATCAATATTTAATCATCATAATCAACAACCAATAATTATTACCATAATCATCAATCAACATAATATTCAACAACAATTAGCGGCCTAGCTTCGAGTGTTAACACCCGAACTTTCCGTCATGCATCACATAACATTTTTATTTGTTAAAAACATCATTTTTATTGTGGTAAATCATTTTTATAATGATCATAATCAATTGGAATCAAAAATAGGATTTTAGAGCTCAAAAATAGCATTTTCGGACAAATTTTCGGATCAGACTGGTCAGGGGATCGATCCAAATACTCATTTGGATCGATCCAGGAGTGATGATCGATCCTCCCTGGGTATTTTCAGCCACTGTTCATCGTCTTCTTCGTTACGGGTCCAATTTCGGAAATACCATTTTTAGTCATCGAACTTCAACGAAACTATATAGAGATGTTCTCCAAGGTTCATAGATCATTTTGACATCATTAATTCATAGTTCTAACATCAATTTCATGGTTTATGATTCTTGGTTCTTCAAACATGTCAAACACAAAACTCAACCAAATGACCATTTATGAACGTAGAAACGACCTATATGAACATTCTAGTCATTAGATATATCTACGGGCTTACCTCAAAGGTAAACAATGATTCCGACGTTTGAGCGGCGAAACTTCCGGTGATCACCACGGCTTGCTCCGGCGACTTTTCACCAAATTGGCAGCACAACAGTGTTCCTCTCTCAACAAGGAATAGAACGGAAGGAAGAAAGGGAAGGATTGGTGATGAATTGAGAATGCAAGGTGTTCTTATATAGCAGAGTCCTGGGGAAGAAGCCAAGTGATCCTTACGTAGCAATTTCCTTAGTGCGCAGGACGGCGATTCTAATTGATTTACACGCCGCTCCCTGATTGGGACCAATTTGGTTCCAGTCGGGGTACACTCTTTGGTCCAACTTTCTCCGAATTGAATTCCGTTTTCACCGTTGCGATCGTACAATTAAACTCTATCTAATGATATAACTTTTATATTTATTCGTTATACTTTTTCTGACATCATATTTTTGGGTGGTTGACTTTGACAGAGTCAAAATTGGTTTAATTGACCTTTGTTCAAAAAGGTTCTCACATTTAATTCATATTATTTATTTCCATGATTTATTTTAATAAATCATTTCAAAGTTTACATTACGAACAATTTCTTCATTTATTCTTAATTTTGGTCTGTACTCAGGTTCCCAATCAAGATCACACAATAAGTCAACAGGTTGGATTTATCTCTATGAGATTTAACCCAATTATGTTTATTGGACATCAATATATATTTTATTTCGGCCCAAAGCCCAATAATAATTTATTTTAATCAAAACAAATTTTGTTTAATTGAATATTTAATTCAATAAATTTTAGGGTATATTTTGGGGCGTTACATTTCTCCCCCCCTTAAAGGAATTTCGTCCTCGAAATTCTTCTAAGGCTCAAAGTTCAACATTTTGTTGTGATCGCAGTTAATCATAATCGCGTCATGTTCATTCAGTTAAATCATAATCACGTCATTATCCACATGGATAATTATTCTCAAACTGTCGATGTTACAAAACTCGTTCTTTCTTCAAGAGATTAACAATCTTTGATTAAGCAAGACATTCAGTGATCCTTCAGTATCAACAACTAAAGTTCCTTCGTGATGTATAGGGTTATATACTTGCCATACTTGCACAAAACTTTGTTCAGTCTCAATTCCTCGTTGTACCACGTTGATTAACAATATTTTTTTCCTCTGATTGAAGGTTCTTCAGTAGCATTTGTAATTTCAAGTTCGCAGTAGATGTAGTGGAAGATTTGGAGGTTGTTTAATTCATACATCATAACGTAACTTTCTCAAGTTACTTGAGTTATCTTCATATCGTTCACATAATTCAACAATAATTCGTAAGTACATCAGTGGCGTTTAGTGGTCCAAGATTTTCAAGATATGGAATTTATCATCATTCACGAGGGAGTACTGTCGATTAGTTGTTTGTACAGTAGTTTGCCTTTATCGATCTCTTGTTGAAATAATTCTTCGTTCATCTTCGTAGTAGTCCTCATTATCGTTAATGAGTCTATGTACCAATTCCTATTTATACATGATAACGTTTGAGTATCGTCTCGTGTACATCTTGTCATATTCAAATTTTCTTTCATTAATTTGAAAACAAATCTAGATAGCGACAGGTTCGATTGTAACACTATTGTTGATCTTGTTTTGAGGAAAAAGATAATATCTTCAGTACGTGATTCAATTCGTGAATTCATAGAATGAGGAATCTTTACTAGTTCTTATACCAACATCGCATATAAGTTCGGAATCTTCACTTGAATGATTCAGCCTGTTTTTGCGACGTCATTTCTTCTCTGGTTGTCGCACATACATTTCCTTGCTAGGATTCTAACAATATCATCGATAATAATCTTCAGAGATAGCGTAATCGTATT